TGCATGCACGAGACAATAGAAAATTTTCCTAATGTAATCAAATTTAATGCATAAATCTTTTTTGTGCCATGTCTACAAATTATTTTATTCCCCTCTTACAAATAATTGTATTTCATTAGTCAGAATGCGAATTACATACATTAATTGTTGCTAGGTATAGGCCACACATTAAGGCTTATGCTACTTAACAACACGAGGCACTTAAAAAAAAAATTCTTCATTAAATTTGATTACAGTCATTAAAAAAATGGACTAAATGGACTATATCAATGGCGTTGCACGTCAGCTTTCGAAATTGTGCGAACATGACAATGACATAGACACACACAAACACACGCACACACACAATCTGAGCATGATTTATACAGTCATTACAAAGGGGTATCAACTTCTTGAAAGCCTTAGCGATCATAATAGTTTAATTCGCAATGCTTCCGTATACTCATGTCATCAATATATATATATATATATATATATATATATATATATGTATTAGGCATAGGTGACATTATTACACGGGACATTACGGAAGGGTCACATTTTCTGTCCAACTCGGTAATATTTTGTGGAGTTAATTATATACTTACTTTTCTATTTGGATAAAAGATGACCAAGATTAAGGGAATAGTACTGCCCACCTAGCTATTTATTGCCCGAATATTTTGTTTATATTATATTCCTTAATGTTAGGTAGTAGTGTTTCAAACTTCAATATTCAAGTGCAGTCGAAAGACCCACTAATGGAATACTAACAATTCATTAACCAAATACTCAACCATTCATTAATGAAATTAATGCATAATAAAACACTAATGATTTACTAATCGTACAATTATTCTGGAATAGGCGCAGTGGTATATTAATAATTCGCTAATAGCTGATTGAAAACGAAGGTGTTGATCATTAGCCTAGAAAGCATTTTATATTTATTTTGCGAGTTAGACCTTGATAAAACTAGACTTGTTGTGCTTTCATTGTGGCCTAGATTTAACCCATCTCTGCAATTGTAATTTCTGTCATCATATTCAAAAGACCCCCCCCCCCACTCTTATTCTCTCCCTCTCTCTCTCACTCTCTCTCTCTCTCTCTCTCTCTGCCTCTGCCTGTCTCTGTCTCTGTCTCTGTCTCGCTCTGTGTCTGTCTGTCTGTCTCTCTCCCTCTCTCCGTCTTTCTCTCTCAGATGTCAGGACAGAATGTTTCTTGAGTGCAGATTAATAGATATATACGATCGATCAAATGGACAGTGACAGTGTACCAATTTCTATTCTGGGATGCGTATTAAACGTAACATTTGCGATCAATCGCAAAATGACAATTGCAAATCAAGACTATTATTAACGTCGCCTGGCTGGCAGAAGGGCGTTTGCTCAAATTTCAGGTCAATAATGAAACTTTAAGCAGAAGGGCGTTAGCCCTAAATCGCCTCAAACTTTATAAAAACTGACTTATTTCCGAGAAAAAAACTGTGGCCGTGTTCTACTACAACATTTCTATTAGTCTTTAATGTTTTAAACCAATTTTCGGGATGGAAAGCAGTTTAAATATAAAATAAATCTTTAAATGCGAATAATTCGAAAAGTAGTTTTCGAGTCGCTTGCGAGCTAACGCCCTTCTGCCACCCGGCCGACGTATAAATTGATGCATGCACATTTTGTTGAAAAACAAACAAAACTTACCATAGACCAATCAGAATGATTGCTTAAATTATTGTAAACGTTTGTGTTACGTGTAGTTTGGAACATCAGTAAAAACTAAATTGTATTTGTAAGCTAATTTTATTAATGGTAACTAAATGATAGATGGGTTCAACTTTCCCACAATTCTCCCACTGTTTAACTGTGCTCCTCTACTTTTTCAAAAACTATCTATATCAATCACGCAACCTGAAAGCTCATACGATACAATGAGTGTAAAATAGGCTCAAGCAATATAACATATTATATGCTATACCAATTTTATTCTATAGCCCATGGCCTTTCCACAAAGAAGATGACAATGGCCATGAAGGCGCGGACACTCTTTCTCTCTCTCTCTCTCTCTCTCTCTCTACACTCCTCTCTCTCTCTCTACCCCCACTTTCTATTCCACTTTTTGTATATTCCTCCCCCCTCTCTCTCTCTCTTTCTCCATTTGTTTCTTCTCTCTCTCTCTCTCTCTCTCTCGTCTTGTTCCCTCCTTTCCTCCCGACGCGTCGTCATGGAGACCAAGTGCTAATGGATTGCACTACCTACTTTTGGCTTTAAGACGCTTATCTACATATTGCATTTCGGTCTTCCAATGGCGCAGATTTATTATTCTGGGGTGCGTGGGTTACCTTTTCGAAGTCTACTGGAGTGATACCATGTATACAAACTGACATTGATCATAGTGAAGGGCATATTTACATTTCAATTTTTTTACCGCAAACGGTACCATGGTAGTACTTTGAATTGAATTGTATTGAATGTATTTTAATTACAGTAAAACTCACATCAGCCTAAAAAGACTGCTAAAAAAAAGATCATATAGGCACCAAATTGATATATATACACAGAAAAAACTACTTAAAGATGACATATTTGAAACAAAGTGAAGAGAGAAAGCTAATACACAAAAAAAATTACATGTACAAACATAGGCATAGTGAAGTGTCATATGAATGAAAAAGGAACAACAAAATTAAATAAAAAAGCTAGCGCGTCAAATAAAATAACAGACATTAAGATATGTTATATAAAAAGTGCAAATTTGTACTCTTTGTTTAGTTTAGCAGTTGACAACAGTAAAACTCATGTTATAGTAAATTGTCGATTGTGCAGTATGTAGCACTTAAACTCTGCAATGTTTATGCACCGTCAACAATGGACTAATGCTATACATGTGTATACAGTCATGTACATGTAATTCAAACTTTAATTTCCAGACAGAGGATTCTGAGCATGTACAGTTGAATATTCAGACAGATTTTAAAAACCTCATCTATCAATAATCATTAGTTAACATCTTGAAGCGCTCTTTTCACAGCTTCTGGAACAATTTCTCCAAGATTTTAATCAGAATAACCGGGGAAATGATCGCAATTTTGTGACATAACGCTATGTATTTTAGATAAGTTATTATGCACTATAACTTACTTACACAACGTCGTATCCTAAGTCAAGCCTTAATATCGATAAGTGGTATGTTGACACATTTTGTAAACCAAGATAAAAGAACATTCAAATATGGCATGGTGTTAATTGACTTGACTCGACCTATATGCACATGACAGGGTGCAGGCGCGCCGGAAGCAGTTTGGGATCGGGGGGGGGGGGAACCCTCCAGGGGGCTCACCTTCCAGGGGGCAGTGGCGTAATGAGCAAAAACGTTTGAAGAGGGGGGGGAATCTGCATCACCACCACTCTTATACGTTACATGCAGGCCCCGCGGAACGTTTCTCAAAGTAGAATATTAACGATAAGGTAGAGCGTAAATTGGCGTGAGGTCCAGGGCCTGAGCTCCGGCAGGGGGTCAAGGGGCCGAGCCCCCGAAAGCTCAGAGTTTTTAGGCATTCAATTAGGTTAGATGAGCATCCAGGGGCCTGCCTTAGCGCCCTTTATGGGGTCCAGGGGGCATAGTCCCCGGAAGCTCATGGGTTTTAGGTATTTAATTAAGGGCCCGCCTAAGGGCCCCTTGGTGGGGTCCAGGGGGCAGAGCCCCCGGAAGCTCAGGGGTTTTAGGTATTTAATTACGGTCAGATGAGCATCTAGGGGCCCGCCTGAGGGCCCTTGGTAGGGTCCGGGGGCGGAGCCCCTGTAAGCTTATGGGTTTTAGGCATTTAATTACGGCAGATGAGCATATTTTGAAACCTTATTTGTGACATTGGCAGGTCACTTATTTTTTCTCCCTCTCTTTCTTTCATTTTCTCTGTAACAAAGTTTTTCAAAAATTGAGGGGGGCTCGAGCCCCCGAGCCAGCCGTTATGCAGGCCCTGACATGAAGGCTTCTAAATTTTTTGCCCGACTGTAAATTTGGGAATTTCTAATTTTCCAACAAACGCATAAAAAGGTATGACTCACAAAAATAATTGAGAAAAAATACCGGAAAATCAAGTCATTTCAGCAACATTTGTTAAATCACTGGTATCGAACAAGAAATACCCCCCCCCCCCCATCAGAGAGCCAGCGTTCAGGGGCTCATGTCTACTCACCCCTATAACAAAAAAACAAACACGCTTTCTCATCCTCTCACAATATTTCTTCGATATGCGCGTATCGCTATTATAAAAAACTCCTTGATAAAAATAGGTGGCATGCGGAATGTTTAGGAAATCTAATTCCTGTTAACTTTCCTTTTCTTTGAATGGAATTTTATATGTGATTTAATTTAGGTTTGTATTATTGTTGTTCTTTTGGGTTATAAATACAACCCATCTTTACTCCTTTACCGTTTTTTTTTTTTTTTTTTTTGAGGGGGGGGGGGGGGGCGTTTTTTAGGAGTACACCGCCTCCATTTAGTTATGTCTTGCGCTAGACTTTTAGTATCCTCTTATAGCGATGTTCATGTCCCCGCAGTAAGGTATGGACAAAATTAAGTGTAACGATGGCATAGTTAATGATGTTACGGCGTCTTTCGGTTTCCAGATTGTGATGTAATACATATGTGAACTAATACAAAAAATGGAGGAATATTGTTTTTAAAAAATGATAGAATTTTTTTTTTAAATGTGATCTTATCTACCTCTTAGGTGCTTATAACATGTAAAGTATAGAGAGGAGTTTATAGTGAGAAGCAGCAAACACCGGTGTAGGATATGACAGTAATATACGCCCGCAGGTAGGTTTAATAAGATAACGTTAAATCGACACCGATTCAATATCTACATCCATCTAATCTTCCCGTTCGGAATCTATCACATATATCCTCCAGCCACCGACTCTCACGGTCTCACCGTGAAACCTGGTCACTCCTATATACAGCCGTGTCGATGCCTAGTTACCGTCAACCAAAAGCCTATCACGTGGCCGCTCGTGACACTTGACTTTTTTTTTCGCGCCAATAAATACCCGTCGTCTGCCGACGCTATAAAACTCTCATCAAACCACGGGAGATTGTCATTTTATGTCCTACCGCAAACCCGCACACACACGGGTACAACGCATCGGATTTTGGCTGCGGCATCGTCGTACTTGGCCATGTCTGAGTTTGTACATGTGTGTTGTGTGTGTACGTATATCATGTTTAACCGCAGTTGAAAGTAATTGGAATCCAGTTCGAGATAAAAAGCAATTTATGAACGAACGTCAAGGGGATATTCATATTCGTCATATATGTATCTGGAAGTGGTGCTCGGTGGATTTTAAACGCACCTGTGCCTTTATTTGGATATAAACTTGACTTTAAAGCACCGATCGGTTGTCTTTTTTCAAGTAGGAGTTTGCTCGGAGCCCATTGATTACCTTCAGAACTGAAATTGTATTTTTAAGCAATGACTGCTGAAATATTTTGCAATGTATCACTCTAATGCGACGCTGTTCCCGTGGCATAACACAATCTACTAAGTCTGAACGACTGAAAGTCTTCTATTCACAATATGTTTAATTGGTGACTACATTTTAGCACGCATGATGATATCTACCTTAGATGTGACTTTGTTCGTCTTCAGAAGATGTCAACTTGTTTCTCTCTAAATTATGTCAGTTCGTTGATATTTGACCTGAGAATTGGTGAAACGTTATCTTCATGCCCGAATTCATACATTTGGCTTTTCATTGATTTCGTGAATCCCAGCAATGCAAGCTCACATTTCTGTGGGGTTTCAACTGATTCAGCAAAACTAATTGCAACGTAGAATTGCTACAGAATGCAACGACTCTCCTTTTGTAACCGTGCTCGACTACTCTGCGATTGATTTTTCTTCTTATATTCATTTCATCCAAACAACTGCCATTTTCAGATGAGTGCATATTCTACATAATGAGAAATTGGTTCCGTAAAATTGCAATAAACTAATGACTTTCTGTCCATGGCTTACGAACAACCGAGCTCACGTCTCGATAATGATTGAGAGTGGAAGCGATGTTGAACAAAATAAAGAATGCCACGTTCTTTTAGTGTGCACATTCTGTGACTGGGCATATAAATGTGAATTTAATTGCGCACTCGGCTGACTTGTGACGTGTGATTATCTCACTGTATGACGTGTGCAGTATAGTGTCAATCAACAGTGATTTATCGAGCATGATTGAAACCTTATTTTTGAAACAAGTAACTATCATCACCACTACTTAAAGCCTACGTACCAGGAAAGCATGGGTGTACTACATAGGAAAATCTTCATCAATAACATAGTGATTCATTGATGAATCCAGCTAGCAATTCTGCTCTAATTGTTGACCGGTTACCATAGTATATTTTCTGTGTGTCCTTAACAAAGTGTATGCGACAACAGGGCATTTAATAGGCGAGGGCAACGTTGCGGCAGTGTTCAATTCGTCTTGTGACCTTCACGGAAACACGTAATTGTCCTCTCTACAGGTGTCAGGTGTGTATGGAAACCTGATCTTGGACGTCATTTCTTGGCGGAAACCTTCTTGGTTTATCTATCCAATGATTGGGTGCCTGCCTCCTCGCTTGGCAATGGCCGCTTTGCCGCAGTTTGAGGTAGGACCCCTAGCGGCGTCCCTCGTACACACCGATGGAAACGCTCTGCAGAAAGCGGTACGACTCGGTAAACTTAGGCTGACACGACTGCTTGTCGAAGGAGGCACCGATATACACAGTGTTGACGATAATGGCCGAACAGCGTTGATCATAGCTTGTATGACGCGTTATGAGGATGATAAGGAAAATGTGACGAAGTTGAAATTGGTGAAATTGCTTCTGGAGAACAAAGCGAATGTCGATGCGCAGGACAAGTATGGTCGTACGTGCTTGATGTACGCGTGCATGGAACTAGCTGGGAAAGAGTTGATTATGTTGCTGCTGAAGCAGGAAGCAGATCCTAGAATAACGGATAAGAACGGATCATCTGCACTAGTGTATGCTGTAAACGCCGGGGACGCTTCAGTGTTGTCATCGCTTATCAACACTTGCAAGAACAAAGGAAAAGAAGTGATCATCATCACAACAAATGATCGTGGGAAGGAGAGAGAAACAAAACAGTATCTAGATGTTCCCCCTTCTCTAGCAACAAGTCCTCCATTGTATAAGTGCATTAGTCCGGCACAGATAGAATTGAAAAAGCCAAATTCCCTGAACGTTCCTAGTGCTACAAGTAAACTAAACGCAGATGTGTCATCTCCCAAGACACATCGGAGACGTGATAAACAGCTATTGGACTCACCTTTATCACCGGAATCTTCACCGCGGTCACCCGGTAATTCCCCGCGGTCACAGCGGTTACAGCCAACGAAAGGACAAGCGTCGATGCAGTCCCGTCGCCTCGTTAGACGCAGTAGTATGGGTCTCTTATACGACACTGGTTCTGTGTCGCCAACCAGATCCCATCCAGATTTACCCGAAGAATCCGAGGAGGAAGCTGCTCGAGAAAGTAGCGGTAGCACCTCCACCCTACCAGCAAACAGTAACGATTCACTACACAGGTCACCGCGTTCTTTCAGACGTCCACTGATAAGACGGCAGAGCGCTGATGCATTCAGTCCCTCATCACTAAACGCCGCGAATCATAAACTAATCACACATGCCTTTCACTCACCACAATCTACACCAGAAAAGAAACTGTTACCGCGAGGCGTCTCTAACCGACGTGGCTCGTTACCGGCCATGCCGCCACCTCTTAAGAAAAGTCAAACTGTTCATGCCATCAACGTGCCAAAGGCTTTACTTGAAATGAAAAGATCGACAGACTCAAATGATTCCAACAGCTTAACCGACATTACTAACGACTCCCACCATATATCTTTTGATGGTAGTAAGAAAAAGTCCTTATCGCGTCGCGGTTCTGCGCCATTTTTGCTCGAAGACGAACTCTCGTATACGCGACCCGGAACATTACCGCCATTAAACATCAATCCGCGTCCACCGATTCCAGACATCGGATCAACAACGTCAAAACCCTCGCCGCGGTTAGGGCGCCACATTAGTGGGTTAACCGCTGCACACGATCGGCGATATTCCATGCAAGCCGAAGATATCCGTCGCCTTACAGGCTTGTACCAACGAACAACCGATATTCCAACGTCAGATTCGCGCATTGACTCGAGTGGTGAATCGGGAGCCGAGAGTAGTTGAATTTCTAATGAAAATCTTGTCTAATAACAGATTCGTCACATTCGATCATTCAAAATGCATTGTCTCAATTCATTCAATATTGTTTACTCACTGCCTTGTACAAATTTTGGATGCCTTGCTAAATGAAATTTATTGATGTGCAATATATTTATGGTCTAAAAAGTATACTTGAAATAATCGTTATTGAAGCCAGCTGTAGTCTGGATATAATTATGATAATAAAGAATCCAGTGTGTGAAATTTTTTCTTTAATTTACCATTATCTTTTGCTGGTCAAAGATCTAAATCCATGAGCACTTTACATGTAAAATCAAATATATATATATATATATATATATATATATATAAATATAATCAATTTAATGTTTGTAGCATTTTTTGTTGTTGTTGTTGTATTTTAAACACTTTTTCAGCTCCCTACCACTCGTGAATATAATTATGAGGTTTTGCTACTTAGTGCATTAACCAATCAGAATTACACTTTCTCTTAAAATCCAATTAATTGAGATTCAATTAGAAATGTAATGAAATTGTATGACGGAAAAGAGGAAAATTGGATTCCTTTCGAAGCATCCACAATCTGATCGGATTGTCTTCACACAGCTTACCACTGCGTTCACCACACCGGTGTGTATAAAAGTGTGTACGCGTCAAAGTATTGAGACAACAAAATATTTTGTGGGTATAATGCGTTCGCATATTTTCACATTGCGTTCACACTGAATAACAAAGTGTAACACACACGCAGGCCAAATAGAAGCACCGTCTAAACAACCCGATGTAAACACAGTGATTAGTTTAAAATACTGTTATACCAGGGAGGTGTGAGTTCCCTGGTTATACTGTGACAGTGTCGTGCACTGTATAAGCCAGCTCGTAATAACAATCTGCGCGTGGGCAGATAAAGGTCATTTGTACCAATTTGTAAAAACCCACCAAGATGAATACTGGATAGGTACTCATTAAAAATATGTAATCATTATTCATTAATGCACCGACTGTATATTCTATGAAACACAGGTGGAAGTATTATTTTCAAGAGACCAAACAAAAGGTATTCATGAAGCACATCTGACGGCATCGGCAACGATTATCTAAAATGTGCTATGTACGAACTGGTCTATGCACACTAGCTCAACCCTTTGCACGCTGTTCTTTTCAGTAGAAAAACATTGGTATGGTACTTCCTGATAAATATGTAAACTTTAATAAAAAAAAATAATAAATTGTCAACAAAGATAACACCATGGAAATAAAAGATTCATGTATCAATAACCAAAATGTTTGTTGTCATCACACAGTTCCAAAGAAAGTTTGATCACAGAGTGGATTTGAAATAATTGTGATAGCTGTGGCTATTTCACGACAGGTATACAAACTTGTGTCAATATTCCAAGCTAAGTGACACATGATGTGACCACAGATACAATTTTGAAAAAATTCGCACATCACAGTTTGACCACAAAACAGATTTAGAACATTTTCACTGTGCCGACAGACTGTGTTTCTGATAAAAAAAAATCATGAGCGTGTGCAAGTAAATGTGATCAAAGTGGACCTGGAACAGTGTCATGGACTGGTGTCGACATGTTGAATGCACTGTGTTCACATCACTATCGATGGCACATTGTGATACACTGTGATGACTGACAAAAACACTATGTGTGCACACAGTGTGAACAAAGTCATGTGGTCCACAGTGCGAACAGTGCTATTTTACAATTCTTTGTCGCTTAATGTGATATACTGAAGGTACTGTTACCATAGACCACCGAACGGTGTGTCCGTACAGTGATTACAAAGTGGATTTGAAACACATTTATGGTGTCGACAATGTGAATCTAAAGTGTGTTTATCTATACCACTCTTTGTGATACACTGTGGTTTAATAACGAGAAAGAAAACAAATGTGCCTATGCTATGATGAAAGATAGGATTTTGAACACAGTCACGGGTTCCATAATGTGAACACACTGTGTTTAAACCGCTCTGTGTGAGACAGTGGGAACACACTGTGTTTATACCACTCTGTATAGCACGCTGTAAGTGTAGTTACTGGGTAAATCGCAATGGTGTTTTTACAGTATGATATGAAACACTGTCGCCATAGTGTTGACAATGTAACTGACACAGTGTTCATACTGTTACAATATTGATCCCACAGTGTGATTCACGGTTCTTTCTGTTACATCATTAGTAAAATATTTTCAAACCATTTTCAAACCGAACGTTAAGTGGGCTCCTTTCAGTCAGGTGTTTTTTCTGTACAGGTGTTCGCTAAAGCAGGTTGACTGTTTGATAAGTACCGCGTTACATTCTGAAAGTCTTTATCAAAATATGGAAAAATACTATTTCTTCACATCTTTGTTGTAAGATTGTACCCAAAATATTCATTCTTATCCATACGCCGAAAGATGATGGTCACCAAAAAGCAATGGATAGACGAGTACACACTGTAGATACCATCGGGCGGTTGTATTCGTTTTGAAATAGTCACCTTTACACGAACTTGAGTAAAGTCACTAATAGTACAATGTTTGCTTTCACTAGTTCCCCTAAATGAAACAAATTATGTATCCTTAACTAAATGTGCATTTCAAAGTTTTATGTCGAAGAACGAATTCCATCTCATGAATGTCATAAAAAATAAAGAATAAAAACATTTGAAACAATACGTAATTATTGCGTTGTTACGGAGTGTTGATTTACAAATGATTTTCACAACTTTACGTTCATTTCAACATCGCATGCAGGTTTAAAGCGGTTGCTCTTTGCAAAGACACTACGTTGTGATTTGTTGGTTTGTAAAATTCCAAGCAAATCGTTATCATTTGGTGCAGTTCATTTTGATAGCATTAATTCTTAATTTATTATTCACTATGAGTTTCTATTAGTCTTGGATGTATAATTTCCCGTCTATAGAGCAATCTCTGAAATAATATTGCGTCGTAGAATAGACAAATGATAAAAAAGTACTTCATAAAAGAAAAGTAGGCCTTACATTAATGACGAAAACTACGCCAACTCATATAAGCTAAAATAGTTGGTAGTTTTACTTATTTTGTCATTTTTTTTAAATCTTGTCTTTGAATATTTTACGTGGTATTCAAACGAATTGTTTTCTACAAGCCCAGAGCAATAATTGCCTCGGTCATAATTTTAGGTAAAACCTAGATGTAAGCGCCAAAGGGCAAACTTCTATTTTTGTTCCTTTCTTATACTCTACCTTAGGCACCTCAACCCCATAGGGGTTGTGTAGCGCCACGAAATAGTCACGCTCTCCCCAATTTAGACCCATGTAAAAGTTGGCTGATCAGTCGTAACCGCCATGTAAAGGACATGTATTTTATTCATAATGGCAATGTAGCACTAATTAAGCCACGTATACGCCACGAAAAACCGACGCTTTGATAATAATTTGACAAAACAACCTTCGACATTCATGACACATTTATTATTATCATCGATTTAAACATCGTATAAAGAGGACTAAGATAAACATCACAAACTCATACATTTACAAGCAACAAGTTCGTGTTTACATCAGTACGTCGCAAATTGACGGTCCATCGATTTTCTCGGAAGACGTACGTCATAATGAAAAAAGAATAATGGCTGATGTCCCCATGTATTTCAATATATTTTATCCTCTCTTTATGTTCCACGACATGAAAGCAACAGGTTGACCTGCAGACTTCAAGCATTTTAATGACTTTAATGAGCCTGCTCATTCTGCTGTAACTGCTGTTTTGACGTATTGCGCGACCATGAAACATTATGGTACCGTAGTCTTATGTTCTAAAATTATCACAGGTAATTTTCTTTTCAAGACATTTTGTCTTCTGCGTCAGGAAGATTCACAACACGATATTTTTCTTACAAATATTACATTCCTAGTAAAAGGTCTTTTTCAAATGTTCATGCTTTGTCACATTGTCTTGTTATATCTAGAGTAACGACGTTCTTGCTTGGCATATCTTGTAAATTTAAGCTGATATTAAAATTGTATGATTGTAAAATGAAGTAAATTTGTCACCAACTCTCAATGTTAGAGAGCTGTAGTATCTTTTAATAATTCTCGATTTTTAGAATAAATCGAGAAAAAAAAAACATATTGAATCATTAATAATATGTCCATTCACGGGACGATCTTGAAGTGTAGATCATATAAATGCGAAATGAGAAAATGTTTATAGTACTAAACATTGATATATATTTCCATCAATTTAAATTCAATTTCAACTTTATTACTCCACAACTGCAGGTCATATAAACCATATATAAAAGTGTTAACATGTACATTTACAATAAAACTTATACACAAAATAAGCTCAATGATATAAATAATTTAATGTAGACGTATTTATAGACCAAATGCAGAGGGGTTATAGTCAGAAAATCAAAATGATTTGTCGTGGACTACCCCCAAAGAGGAAATCCTAAACCATTATTTTCCTACGTAACATTCAACAATGTGACTTTATCATTCATAATCATGTAATATACATGTATGTAATTTGCATATTATTTATTACAATTTGATGCAACGGAAGTTATAAAGTGAAATAATTTCTACGAATGACACTGAAATGAGATTTTGTGTTTCGTAATAACTGTGAAATCCAAGAGGAATTTATTTGGCTTGAAGTATGAAGCGTCCTTTGAATCAAGTTGGGTTTTCATATTTCATGACAATTTAATAATTTTACCATGATTACGTAGGAAAACATTAAAATGGACTATTAACCAGAGTCGCATTTATCATGATTATGGGACAACATATCCTAACCGCAGTTCTAAAAACACCGGATATCCATATTTTTCGCTGTTTATTACTCCTCCAAGTCCTTTGACTGACGTCAGTGAGTTTTGAGTTATGTTTATGTTTAGAGTTAGGGTTAGGTATAATGTTGGATATCGCATTGAAGTTTTGAATCTTATTAGAGTTTTACAAAAAGCAGTAGAGCTTTGTCGTCGAGGCACATGACGTACAAATCGTAACATCGTATTTGACGTATTTCGGTGAACGAATGATGAGCAATATTGTAATCCTTTTCAAAACGAACTCGCCAAACAATTATAAATGTGGGAGGCAAAACCCACTCGTTATTTCCCAACGGTTGTCAGACCGTAGAGAAATCTTATCAAAGAGACATAATTCTTTAGGTTTATTGAAAGTATCTACGACAGAACTCGATCTTTTCCTCATCATAATCTTCATTCATTGCTCGCTGCACTGCATTTACAAAATGGCTCAATGAAATTTTTAGGTTTGGAGTCATCATTGCGCCTTGCACTGCTTAGCTCTGAATTAT